TAGTTCGAATATATCTATTTGCCTCTCTTCAGTCAACCTTCAGCCTTCAAATCGTCAGAACACTTTGAAATTTTGTGAAACAAGCAAAATATTTTGCAAGCGGAAGCATTCAAACGAATGGAATCGCACCTCAGTGACATTGATTTCATTTTGGATGGCCAATTGGATCAGTTGAATTGCGCTATTGTGTGATAGTTCATTGAGTGTGCATTTGCATCTTCGCAGCATTTCGGCACTGATAAGCCGAGCTGTTAACACTCGATACGCATAAGCAACCACCTTAAACCAGTCGATTTACGGAACGTTGCTTCATTCATCACATTGACCAGCACTCAAACAGTAATAACTAACAGATTGATCAGTATTAACTCAGCTAGATCTCTGTTGTAAACGGATAACCCATTCGAATGTAATTCGGATACGAGTGATAAACACTGCGCACTGTATACATTAGTCAATTTAAGTTGAATTCGTGAAATGAATGAGTTTGATGGGAACTGAACCAGAATAAAGCAATGAGTTTAAACTATTGATCAATAGATCAATGGATCAATACTGATCAACAGAATGTAAATTGGATCAATACAATGATATGAATGATAAGGCGCACTTCTTTTGTTGTTTCTTTATTGTTCATTGATTGGAATATATCTGTTCGCCTCTCTTCAGTCAACGCCTTCGAATCGTCAACACCTTGAAAGTTTTCGGAGGATTCCAAATGAATATTCTTTGAACATTTCGATGTTCTCACACTGACAGTGTGGAATTTATAGTGGAATAAACAAACTCAAAAGGTTTATGCTCTTATTATTTGGGAATCCGATTGATCAGAGTTTAAGTGGCGATTTCTTCTTTTTTGGCTGTAAACGGAAACATTAATCACCAAGTCCTTTCAATTCGTCTGCCTTATCCAATGGTGATATGGCACATGCGTAGACCATCGGTCCAAGAACAGGCCCTCGTCCGGCCTCATCAATACCCAGTACACACGGCCGACCATCGGCAAACCGCTTG